GCCCTGCTGAGAACATGGGGAAGGTGTTAGGTCCAAAGAGAACATGAGCAAAATCTTAGGACCCAGTGAAGACCTGTTAAAGGTGTTAGGTCCCAGTGAGAATACAGTGTAGCCCTTAAGTCATAGAGCAAACCTGGGGGTAGCCTTAGACTTCAGTGAGTACTGGCAGAAAGCTTTAGGTTCCAGTAAGAAGCTGAGAAAGTCTTGGGCCCCAGTAAGAATATGGGGAAATACAGTGATACCTGACATTAGATCTTAGTCCTTCATAATATCTTGGATAAGTCTTCAGTATCTATGACATCTTGGAGATATTCTCAGCCCCCATTGTAAACCTTGGAGATCTTGATGGCCTGGGGAAGGCCTGGGTCCCAGAGAGACACTGGGAAGAGCTTAAGCCACAGAATGTCCCTGAAGAAAAACTTTGACCTTGGTGAAACCCTGGGAAGTCATCAGGTACCACTAGAACCTGAGATAACCTTCAACCACCTTGAGACCCTGGGCAAGATTCTAGAATCCTCAAGATGTTACTCCTCTGGGAAGGCCCAGGTGAGATACTGAGGAATGCTTTAGCTACAAATAATATTTGAAGAAGCCTTTCTGCCTCTGTGAGAAGGAGGGAAAATTTTATGTTCTCTTTAGATGTTATGTTCCATTGGGAGGCCTTAAGCACCAGTCAAGTCAGGAAGCCCTAGTGAGACCCTGGGGATGCCCCTTAAGTTCCAGAAAGACCCTACTGAATGCTTTGGTCCCCCAGAGAGTCCATAGAAAGATCTTGAGTTCAGTGAGACCCTGGGAACTCCTTATACCTTATTGAAACCCTGAGATGCTCTTAAGCTCAAATCAAACTTTGAAAAAGACCTTAGATCCCAGTGAGTCCCTAGGGAAAGTATAAGACAAGTTTGAATCCTGAAGACAGCTTTATGCACCACTGAGACCCTGGGGGAAGACCTGGGATCTCAGTGAGAATCTGGAGAAGACCTCAGGCCCCAGTCTGAAACTCCTGTGAGAACCTAGGGAAAGTCTGCTACCCCAGTAAGTGCCAGGAGAATTGCTTAGGTCCCAGTCAGAACCTGAGAACACCTTAGGTCACCTGATGTAAGACCTAAGTCCTCAGTGATAGTTTAGACTCTGGGGTCTTACACCCTGGAGAAGTTATCTGTCCCCATTACAGCCCTTGTAGGCTCCTGGGAGAACTTGGGTAAGGCCTGTGCCCCAGTGAGACACTGGGAAGGCCTTATGCTACAGAGACCCAAAGGAAGCCTTTGGACTTCATGAAATCCTGCTCAGATATTAGACCCCAGTTAGACCCTGGTGATAATATTTGGCCACAGTGAGACCCTGGGGTAAGCCTTTGGCTACAATAAGGCCCTAAGAAAAGAGCGTAGAGAAAATCTTAGACCCCATTGAGACCCTGGTAAAGCCTGGTCCCGATGAGTCTCTGTGAAAGGTCTTAGGTTTTTATGAGACATGAAGAAGCTCTTGGGCTCCCATTCAGCCACTGGACAGAACTTAGGCCCTGATAAGTCCATCTCTAGGTTTTAGGCCTAAGCGATACCTTTGGAAAGGCTTTAGGCCCTTAACAAGTACTGATATCTGAGCTTAACAAGATGGCTCAGCTTGTAAAGGTGTTTGCTTCTAAGCCTGATGACCTACGCTTATCTCAGGACTCATTTTGTGGAAAGAGGAACTCGTGCCCCATGGATTGCCATCTGACGTCCACATTTGGAAGTGACCAAACAAACTGATTAATTAGTTAGAACATAGAGGTTAAAGAAGAGCTGAGACTTCAGAAGTCTGAGTTTCGCTGAGGCCATGGGACCTTGGGCCATGAAATCTAGTGAGACTATCTTCTAGCCCACAGATACTCTGGAGAAAGCCTTCTCCCCTACTGAGACACTTGAGTAGTGTTTGAGAACTGCTGAGACTCCGGAAAATCCTTGTGTTCCACTGGGGCCTTAGAAAACGTTGCTAGGCTACTGAGACCCTAAGGAGGGAGGAGAGCACCTTTAGGACACTGTAGAAGGGCCTCAGACCTCAGCAATTCTTGAAAAGTCCGTGAGCCCCACTGAGACCTGGAGAAGAGCTGCAACAATGTTAAATCTTGAGCAAGGCCTTCAATCCCTTGTGATCCCAAGGAAGACAGACTTTCCCGAGCTCCTAGGGAAGTCTTTAACCCCACTGAGGTGCCAAGGCTTTAGCTCCTTCAGGGCCCTGGAAAATTCTGACTCACAACATGCTAGCGGGAATTTGGAGAGAGCCATGAACTCTATTGAGTGTAGAAGACGGGGTCTTCATTAAGAATCTGGGACCCCGGGGCAGGGAATAAGACCGTTTAGAACCTGGAACTGTGTTGAGACCCTACTGGAAGCAATGCACCCCACTGAGATCCCTGGCGGGTTCGCTGTTCCTCTGAGACCTTAGGAGAAGCTGTGGGTCCCACTGCAGCCATGGAGTGGGTCTTGGGACCCACTGAGTTCCTTTTGTGATGGTTTGAGTGTGAAGTTCCCCCCCCCCCCCTCTCTCTCTCTCTCTCTCTCTCTCTCTCTCACACACACACACACACACACACACGCGCGCGCTCACATGTTTGAACACTGGGTCTCCAGCATGTGGTACTGTTCCTGAAGACTGCGAAACATGGATCCTAGCTGATAGACACAGGGTCATAAGAGTGAGCCTTAGGGTCACAGGCCCGGCTGGCATCCAGTTTGACCTCACCTTCTGACCAGTGCCTCTGCAAGCTCCTGCTGCCACAATCAGACCAACTCCAGCCACCATGCCTTCTGTTCCATGACGGGCCATGTACCCGCAAACACTGAGCTAAAATAAACTCCTCCTTCCCAAAGTTGCTTCTTTGGGGGATTCATTCACAGGGATATGAAAGGAATTAATGCAGGGAACCAATGAATTAGATTCTTTTCAGATGTTGGGAAGTCAATGAAGCCCAATGGGACCTTAGGGAAGGCCTTATGTCCCCTTGTGGCCCTCAGGAATATCCTGAGTTTGAATGAGAGCCAGGGAGACAATATGAGCCCCACTGAGTCCCCAAGCAGACGGGGCTTCACTAACACCTGGAGAAAACCTAAGTCCCTTTAGTACCCTGGGGAAGGCTGTGAGGATTTGAAATAGCCACAGTAATGTAGGACCATGGTGCTTATTAAGACTCCGAGGAAGGTGGCTGTGAGCTCCAGAAATGTCTAGAGAAGGTCTTAGCACCACTAAGAAACTGGAGCTGTCTCTGGGTGTTGTTGTACTTAAGGATGCTCGATAACCTTACAGAGACTTGAGGAAGGCATTTGTTCTGTTGGTACTCTAGGGAAGGCCCAGAGTCACACTGACACCTTCACAGGGAGTGGATGCTGAGCCATGTGAGGCCCTAAGGAAGGCCTTAAGTCACAGGGAAACCCTGAACTAGGCTGTGAACCCTGCCGCAACCTTGGGGTGGGGTAAGCCCATTGCAGTGTTGGCATGTTCATGAGCTCCTTTGAGACTCAAGTCAGGTGTGATCCCCATGGAAACCCTGGAGAGGTTTGAGCACCTATGATGGGCCTGTGGAGGGCTTAAAGCCCTGAAAGCATGCTCAGAGTTGTCCCTGTGTGTCACTGAAATCCCAGAAAGAGTTTAAATGTCACAGAAAAACCAAGCCTTTATAAAGTTCCAAGGAGATACATACCTGAGTATCAGAACTTGGGAGGATGAGACAAGAAGGTTGTGAGTTTAAGACAAGCCTAGATATACCACAGGACTCTTTTGCCAAAAGAAAATTCTCCTTGGGAAGTTGGAGCCCCAATGAGACCCTCAACAAGGCTCTCTAGCCTCTCTATGGTCCTGACGACAGCCCTCCCCCACTGCCCTAGCCCTGTCCTTGCTTGCACTCCTCTTGAGGTACCCACATATCCCCTGCTCCAGTGAGTCCACTGGAGTGTCCCAGATACCCAGAGTATGAATGGCTGCAGCACTTCTCGGGGGACAGGGAGCAGGGAGTACGGGGCCCACAGCTCTAGTCTAGTGGCTATAAAGCCCTGCATAAGGTAGAGTCTAGCTCATGTGGCTACACCAAGGTTTTTTGCTAGTTGGCCGGGCAACAGGACAGTCCCAAATCAGGGACAGGAGGGGTCAAGGAACCCCCAACCACTCCAAGTGGAGTCTGAGAAGGGTTTTGTAGCTGGGGTAGAGCCTGCACTAAGAGATCGAGGCAGAGACTCTGAGTTCTGAAACATGTTCTCTGATGATGACCTGCTGGCCTTCGGGTGCTTGTCTTGGGGTATTAGGATAGGAAGGTGTACCACAGGCCTTCAGTACAGCTAACCCCTGAGTGGTCTATGGGTTTGTGAAAGGAGAGACAGAGGGGAAGGGACCAACAAGCATCTTGCTGCCTGAATTCTGCTTTCTTCCTACCTCTGAGGGTGAGCAGGGGTTCTCAGCTGAGCTAAGAACCTGGCTACCAATGGGGACTGTGAAACAGTCCAAGGGACAGAGATACCAGGCCCCCAACAGCTCCAGCACCCTGGGGGAAATGATGTGGAAATTGCTCAGTCAAGGCCAAAGAAGGCCTAAATCTAGCTGGGGCAATGCCCCCTGCTGTGAAGTGGATCATTAGGCCACCCTGCCCCTTGTTAAGACTCTAATTACCCTAGGGCTAAGTAGAGGTGTTGACGTCCAAGGAGAACTTTCTGCAGACCCAGCACCAGGAAAGTGTTCGGAAACTGCAGCTTCAGCCCCTCTGGCCATCTGCCGAGCCACCCCAGGGAGACCTTAATGGGCTGAACACCAGAGTCCAGGGGGCAGAGGGGAGGGGCTTTCAACTATAAAACTAATGGGGACCCAGTAGTCCCCAGTCCTACTTGACCAGCTACAATCAGAGGCCATCAGCAAGCAGGTACGTACTCTTCTTATTTGACCTGACTCCACGGCCAAGACTCCCAGCATGTAAGGGAAGATGTGCTGGACTCCTCTCTTTGATGCGCCTTTTGCTAGTCTCAACCCTGCCTATCTTCCAGGTCATTGTCCCATCATGGCCCTGTGGATGCGCCTTCTGCCCCTGCTGGCCCTGCTGGTCCTCTGGGAGCCCAACCCCGCCCAGGCTTTTGTCAACCAGCACCTTTGTGGTTCCCACCTTGTGGAGGCGCTCTACCTGGTATGTGGGGAGCGTGGCTTCTTCTACACACCCAAGTCACGACGTGGAGTAGAGGACCCACAAGGTGAGCTCTGCCCCTAAATTCTGTCCTCAGTGCTTATCACCCTGGTTTTCTTTACCCTCAAGACCTCACAGATTGTGTCCTGGGTGTAGAGGGTCTCAGGGTAACTGGGAGGGGGGAATGTGGGGGTCTCAGGGTAACTGGGGGGAAGGTGGGCGCACACTTCCATGGGCAGCTGGACATAGGTAAAGACGGCAGCTGCCAGGAATAAATGAGGATCCTGCCTTAAGGCTCCTAGGTTCTGGAGACATATGAGTAGGCCCCGGGATAGGCACCTATTTTGGGCCCCCATAAAGCACTTCACTGATTGGGGGATGGTGGCAGGGTGTGTAGCCTTTGGAGCTCCTTGAGTCCATGCCCAGTGACTTGTCCCACATACATGCAATCCCTGCCACCTACACTGACTTAGTAGGGGACAGGGTGAGAGAAAGCCTGGGGTAGGCAGGGGACCGCTCCACTGCTCCTAACTGGATTGTCCTGTGTTTCTTTGTTTCTGTGCTGCTGGTGCTCCGGCCTGCCCTGGCAGTGGCACAACTGGAGCTGGGTGGGGGCCCCGGAGCGGGTGACCTCCAGACCTTGGCGCTGGAGGTCGCCCAGCAGAAGCGCGGCATTGTGGATCAGTGCTGCACCAGCATCTGCTCGCTCTACCAGCTGGAGAACTACTGCAACTAGGCCCCGCCGCCACCCAGCCTGCTTCCTCACTTTCCTGCAATGAATAAAACCTCTGAAGGAGCATTACAAGTTGTGTGTGTGTGTGTGTGTGTGTGTGTGTGTGTGTGTGTGTGTGTGTGTAGGATGTGAGCGGGAATGTCTGGGGTGGCCCTAGCTTCACCTGCCTGGTCATGATGGCTCCTCAAGGATCTCCCCAAGACTCTCTCTTTTGGGCTCTCTGCATTCCCAGTTTCCTCTTGGCTCCCTGAGCAACCACAAGTGTCCACTGGAACATAGACAATTCCCTCCCCAAAGTGGTCAACACTTTCAGGTAACCTATAGCCCTTACCCTGAGCTGTCCTGGCTGAATAGAGAAGATCTAGGCATCTTTAGACAGCGCGGATGGCAGCTAAGAACTGGTGCTTCATTGCCTCGTAGCCCTGGAACTTCAAGGGCCCCAGAAAACTTTTAAAAGAAAGAGGGCCAGAATAATCTAACAAAAGCTTCTAGCTAACTTTCCTGAGTTCTGTTTCCAGAGCTATTTTAGATGGAGTCCCCGAAGGACCAGAAACTGGGCTTGGGAACGTACAGCTATGGAAACCTTGCTCACGGTGCTTAGTTCTTAGGCAGAGAACATCCCCAGCCCCTCTCAGGCTCTCCAAGCCACCCTTAGTGCTCTGGACAGGAGAGGTATTCCACAGGGATGAAAGGACATACTGAAGGATTCCCTCAGCACTGGGCAGGAGCCTCAGAACCCCAGGGCTCAGGAGTGACCCATTAGTGAGTTCTAGGCAATGTGGGCCATGAGGGAGCCAGATGATACAAGGCCTAGGCCTGGGATCTCCTGTCACTTCTCAGCCTCTAAGTAGGGTCTCTCACCAGATTCCTTGAACCTGACTGTTTAGCAATTCCTCTAGGAAAATCTTTGGTCCTAAGGAAAGGCCACATAACATCTAGGTCTTTGGGGAAATCTCAACACAAAGCATCTCTCTCTCTCTCTCTCTCTCTCTCTCTCTCTCTCTCTCTCTCTCTCTCTCCCTCCCTCCCTCCCCCCCCCCCCCCCCCTCTCTCTCTCTCTCTCTCTCTCTCTCTCTCTCTCTCTCTCTCTCTCTCTCTCCAGCACCCACTGAACACAGATTGGGTGGCACCTGTCAGGCAGAGGAAAACTTAGTGACCCTGGTCATCCCAAGGGCTGGCTGACCTACCAGCTACCCTAGCCAAACCAATCTGTGTCACCCTAAGAGCTGGACCCAGGGCCAGAGTGACAGGGCTCTGAGCTAGACATGGAAGCTTCTTGCTGAAACTCTTAGAGCATCCCTGAGGACCCCTTCCCAGTCACTTCCTCTTTGTGACAATACCACACCCTTACCTAGAGGAATGTCATAGCCCCCTTGCAAGCCCTGCCCCTGAAAAAGAGGCCATAACTGAACGGGAGGGTGGATGGCTGGACACTGAGCCTGGAAGAGGAGAGAGGGAGGTGGCTGTGATCCTTCTAGGAGAACACCCCAGCAGTCAGTTAGCACAGTCTGAGATGGGCACCCTGCTGGAGTGGAGGTATGTGAGTCTCTGCAGAGCAAGAGCAGAAGCAGAAACTAGGAAGTAGACTGGTTGGGAGGGGGAATCTCTTGAGCATCCAGAAAGCAATTGGCCATGGCTGCCTGGGCCTTAGGTGGATGGACAGATGTGGCACCCCACCATTCAGGTGCTACAAACTCTCTAGAGCACATGAGTCAGGGACGACAGGAACAAGAATCTTAGGGTCCTTGGACCTGTGGGACAAGCCCAGCTTTACCCAATATGCAGGAGACTCTTGCTATGGGTTCTGGGAGTTCAGAGTATGGCCCAGATATCAGAATTCCTGTCTTTGGCTTCACTCCTGGGGCCTTTGACCAGGCCTCAAGGGAGAGGCAGGTTGTCCCCAGAACTCTTAACCTTCCCAGGCTGAGGCAATCCTCACCTTCCTGGTTTCCTGGGGTCTCCTGAAACTTTGGTTTGGGGCTCTCCTTCTTGGCCTTGAAGAGGAGAAGAGGCAGAATACTAGAGACAGGTGTGTGCTGCCTCTCAATCCCTCCAGGGGACAAGAAGCAGTCACCCAAAGTGGCCCAGTGCCCAGGGAGCGGAGGTTGGATCAGCTCGGCCTTTGATTGGCACCACACTGAGTACTAACCCCAGAGATGCCAGGGGATGACTTCGGAGGTTTCCATAAGCCCCTGGGTTGCCCCATGTAGGTGAGTCACTGACCTGCCTCAGGTGCTCCTGCTGACCTTGCCTCACTCAGCCCCTTCCAGGCACACAACAGCCTGCAGCACAAAGGCTCCTGCCTGCCCTCAGAATCAGGACTCCCCTTGTCCACAGAGCTCACCACAATAAACATTTTCTTCAAGCTATGCCTGTCACTTTGGTGTTGGAACTGGGGCTGTATGGGGACCTGCTCCCTAACAACCCCCAACCTTGCTGGGGCCCCTCATCACCTCTGCCTACCATCTGGGGGCCCAGAATCTTTTAGGGTATTATCAAGGACAGCCATTATACCCGTGTTGTACTCTTGCCTGGTCTAATGAGGTGGTTCGGCTCCATGTATGTGGGATGGAGGGACTCAAACCGATGTTACACACAGGATGGCTGAGGCCTGGAGCCAGGGCAGCCACTCTTCCGCTGTGCACTCTCAATACAGGTCTCCAGGCACCTCAAATGATCTGCCAATGTAGCTGCCTTCAGGTTGGCTCCACAAGATCGCATTGTCTCCTGGCACAGATGACCTGGCACCTCAGCCCAGCCCCAGGGACAGTCTTTGCCTTCTTATGTTATCAATAAATGTTTACTGTGATCATGTTCTCCAGGCCTAAAAGAGACCCTGAGTGACATGAAAAGTGGGTTCAGGGATGCTGAGGTCCACTTTTTCCCTCTGAGGTCTTTATGCCCAGCAAGGTTCTGAACCAAGGGCTGGGAAGCACCACAGAACCAGGTTGCTCTTAAGTCAGCCTGCCCAGAAAAGTTGCCAGTAGGCAGCCCCAAACACTGGCTTTTGGGTCTCTGGCCTAATTGTGAGTGGAGGAGACCCCTGAGGAGTCTTCCCACAGACTCAAATCGGGTGTCCCTCAGTGTTTTGAGGTAGACATTTGTGAATTCTGGACAATATAGTCAGAAATGGCTAGTTATAGAAGTGTCCAACAGAGGGCAGCAGAGCCTTGCTTTTGAGGCGCTCCAAGTCCAAAGGCCCTACCATAAGCCCTTCTAGTGACTGCAGTTTCTCCCTTTGCTCCCTTCACTCACAGGGACAAAGGGGTTTCCCAAGGGACTGGCTGCTCTGGACTCTGGAGGGTAGGAGGCTTGAGAAGCAGAGAAGGTGTCTGATCATGCTGGGTGTGGCCTTTGGGGTCTAGGCTTCCTAGATGCCCATGGAGCAGATGAACAAATGCCCAGGTAGGTGTCTGCAGTATTCCTAGACTGTCTTAGGTTAGAGTTGTCTACTGCCTGCCTAGAATTGCAGCTGCCGAGAGGAGAGTGTAGGGGTAATCCATGCAACTTCTCACATAACGGCTAAGCAAACAGGCCAGGGGTGCAGACTAACTGTTTCCGGGTAGGACCTTGGTGGTAGTTCTCCAAAGCCCTAGGGGGCACTGAGAAGTGCCCCAGTGGCCAGAAGAGCCAATGGTCTGTCCCTTGCTCTTCTTGGGGTTTTCTTAGGCTCATGAGCTGGCAGGCCAAACCCTGGTTTGCACATGAAGTTGGGTCTATGGGGACCCCAGGGTGCAGGATGCCTCATGCAGAGCCCATCTGGGATGGGGTCAACCCTTTCCCATGTCTACCTTCCGCCCAGTGCTGAGAGGAAGGGAAGGTCAATTTTGAAAAGAATGCCGGGGGTGGCGTGGCCAGGGGTCTGAGAGCTGAAGAGCAGCTTGGATTCGGTGTCATTCCCCCCCCACCCCCACCCCACTATTGTTTCTGGCCTGGCCACAGAACAGCCAGGCAGATTCCTTCGAAAGTGAAGCTGTGGAGGCGGCCCCGTGAGGTCTAGTCGTGCTGTGCTGGAGCCAGGTCACCCAGTGGCCTTGAGCCAGTCCACTTGGAGTCACTGGCTCACTGCCTGGCCCCCAGGTAGCCCACCCTCTACCCCCCACCACACACACATACACACACCTTGATACAAACACTTCACCTGCCACCCTTCTGGTGTGGGTAGCCAGAAGCCTGCCGCTGAGCTGCAGACCCCTGAGGCTGACTCTTGAATCTGGGCCTGGACTAAGACGTGGGGTTACGAACAAGCCTCTGACCCCAAGGAGGACCTAAACCAGGGCTCCTCAGCCTGAGAGCTGTCACACTGTTGTAACACCCATCCCGTGCTTCATTCATATGTTCAAAGTGACTAGATCCAGATTCAGGGTCAAGGTTACTGACTCGGGTTGGCTGGGCCAGTCAAGTCCCGAAGGCCATGTGTGACTCCCGTCTGTGAACTGTTTCCCAGACAGACCTTGTACTTTGTCAGTGGCAGAAGTAGGTCTTAAAGTTGCTAAACCTAGACGTCCACAGACCCTCGTGTTTCCATCAGGACTCATTCCCCACAGTCCTGAGGAGCCTTTAGAATCCTACAGCTGACAATGACCCACATTCCACCAGGACCTCCCTCTGACTCTCCCAGCCCATCTGTGTTTGTGGACAACAGAGTGGGAGCTCTCAGCCCTGCCAGCTTGTGGCTGTTCCTGCTGAGGCCCTGGCACTCCCCCTCTGCTCTTCAAAGGCCACTGTGGCTTCAGAACAGAGTCCTGCTCCAGCTGGGTCTCTAGTCTCCTGTCCATCCCTAAGACCCACTGTGACCTGGGCTGCTGGGGACCTGGAAGATTCTTCGTAGCGTCTCTGGGACACAGGTCCTCAACATGGGTGAGCAACATCTGGGAACTCAGAAGTAGTGAGAACAGGCCTGGGGACCAGGGGGACACTGAGGCACTCAAATCTGTGCTCTGCTGACTGCTTCTCCAGGTCTGACTTCTGAGGACCAAGAACAACTTGAGTTGACAGAGCTA